GCAAACTGTTTTCAAACAAAACTATAATGGAAAGTGTGAAAATATCTAAAAAAATATATCCTGGCTCATTTGATTCGTCTACCTAAAATAATAAGTAAAATATCTTTATTTGAATTGTTCAAGTTCAATTGAAAAATTATTTACGTAAGTTTTAAGATTTGACTTCTCTTGAAGCTCTGCAATTATCTTGTTTTTCGTAGTTCTGGTTTTCAAGCTTCAATTTATCAATATACAAATCACGTCTTACGTGAATTGAAATAGCTTACCTTAAACTTTAKTTAATAACAACTGAGTTATAATGATGAAACAGAACGAAAATCAGTGATACGTGCAAGCCTAGTGCACGCCTGCATAGAAGAATTCAATATGGCAGACCTGTTGAATTAAAATGCGCATGTGCGAAAGAAAACACAGGAATCCCAGAGTGCTGATTTTAAATGTCAATCGTGTCAGCGTTTTATTTCTAGTAAGTTTTATGATTTCGTTCATTTCTCTACTTTATTATTTCCTTTTTAATTTTCATTATTACCCCTAAGTACAAAGGAAGAATTTAAGTATTATTTTCAAGGAGTATTAACGATTTTTCAAGGACTTTTTTCTATTTTCAAGGAGTTTCAAGTGCCCTTGAAAAGAGTTTTCAAATTCCAGCACTTTTCAAGGAGTTCAAGGACCTGAACGAGCCCTGAAACTAGCATTGGTAGAAAACAATGATGGATCAGAAATAGAAATGTCCACTGGTATGACAGAAATACCATTGTAATGTTGTAATAACGTAAGCCACCAATGAATATCATCGGACATGTCGAGTGTTATAGATCTGCGCTCGGCTCGTGACTGGAATTTACGCAACTCGTTCAATAGTTGACACATGAAAACCCGACCCGGTCGAATACATGCGGATACAAACGATAGTTTTCCAAGTGGATGCTGTAAATCACGTTTTGTAAATGTCGACTCTGAAAGCCAATATTTTAATTCATTGTCGAGCTCTGCCACGCGAAAATCTGGCACTGTTAATGTCATCTTTTCCATGTCTATTTCTACTTCTAAGCAGATCATTCCAGTGCACGGCAAAACATCTTTTTCTGGAGAGGCGGATAAACCTAATTCATCAAAAATATTGTTCATTAGTTTGAAGGCCGTGTCGGAAATATCACGCGGTGCCGCTCCATAAAAATCATCTATGTACACGTCGACAGAAAGACCAAGTTGAGGCAATATGAAAACAACAGCTTTGTTTGTGCATTGACATGCAAGTGTAGCAGATCGTAAACCGAAAGGAAAACGTGTATGGAAATACAGGCGGCCGTCCACTTGGAAACCAAGATAATGAATGTCACTGGGATCAACAGGGATTTGGCGGAACGCGCGCCATAGATCCTTTTTGAAAACGTGACAGCCGYRACCATGTTCGTTTACAAATTCAATTAACCGATCGATGCCAGGAAGRCGGAGATTGAAAGGAATGCCAAGATAAGGTCTTTAGGAATGCCATGATTGACAGAATTATTGTCAGGAARGCTTAAATCATGTACAACGCRAACTTTGTTGGAGCCTMGCTTTGTGACACATAATAGCRGTGAAATTACGCAGTCCTTATTGAAAGRATTGCACACAAAGGGACCGCAAATAGCGTCGAAAGATAACTCGGTTCCCACATAAGAATGTAATTGACTTGGTTTGGCTTGGGCTGAAGGATGATTGAGAAGCGTAGAGCGTGGCAGAAAGTCCCGCAAAAAAAAATTATAGGCCAACCGTAACGTAAAAATTCTATAATAATACGATCATCATAATGTTCGAGGTATTGCGTCCAAATATCCAAATTAAAAGAACTATTTACAGGATGACGGGCACCTTGGTAGTTTGGAACCCATTGACGACGAATGTCGTCCACAATACTGACAATGTGTAGTCAGTTGTGAGCTGAGTTGTGGTCCGTTTTTGTGGCTCCTGGTATTTGAAATTTGCGTTTGGGGCACCGCAGCATGGAGGAGTTGCAAATAGCTCATTAAGTAAGGTTGCGTGGTCGCCGGTTGATGTTTTAAGTATTCTAGAAACCTACAGACGAACTCTGATATGTCAAACTGATCATAGTCTGCTGTACCTTTTGAGGAGTACAGGTATTCATTGGGTAGCACCCCTGTCTTCTTTTTCTTTACTTCGTTTAGCGAAGGTATGGATGCAGCTGGAATGATCTGTGGAGGGGGTTGAGAACATTTTGCAATGGCGTAGAGTTGCGTGGTGGTTGCGATGATGCTTGTGCCGATGCCAACTGTAATTGCACTTTAGCCAGTTCCAGTTGCAGCTTTAGATTTTCTTGTTTAATCAATTCCAAATGGATTTCTTCTATCGTCTCGACTGATGAGACTTGAAGTTTTTTAGTTGGTTGGAGTTGTTGAGGTGTGGACTCAGTGGGAGCTGGTAAGCCGAGGTCTGCTAGTTGAGTGGAAATGTCCTCCATATCGGTGATATAGTCATGTAAATCTACTGGTTTTTGTTTTCTAGATCTTGAGGATTTTCAAGCGGCTTTGGCCATAATAAAAAACGTTAAACGAAAGGTTAAAAAACGTTAAAAGAAACTAAGGCAGCTAGCGGCGGTGTTGCTGCTCACAGCAGAGAATGCTAACTGATCTCAAATTACGAACGTGTTTGTTAATGAAATCCTGAGAGCAGGTGGGGGTCCTAATTATTAATTACATATTTTAACAGCTAGTGTCAAAATAAACAAATTGGAAAAAACTTTTCTCCTCTCTCCAAATTCTACGAGTCCCTATACAGTAGAAATGAAAAAGAACACTAAGATATATTTACTTAATAAAGACTTATAAGCTTAAAATCAAAATCATATTAAGTTAATTAAAGGATTTACTGCTTTTCTAGACACATATTTACATATAATCGATAGATATATATTGCAAAACAATTCATAACTTAAGCTTACATGTAGCAAACGTTTAATAGCGAGGTTATTGTTCAAAACAAAAGGTTCAATGAATCGAAAAATATCTTTCAACATGCAAACACAAATGGTTGCATAGCGACAAAATCTTTGAAACATAAATAATTAACATTAAAAAGTCACAAAAACGAAAATAAACATTTTGAACCCTACAAGATTCTTTAATGTCATTTTTGTGTGTGATAGTATGTGTGGATGTCAAGAAAGAATCGAAGGATGGAAACAAATACATATCATTCACGATACTCGCATTTCCTTCCGCGATCTTGAAAGTCTCTCCTTCTCGGCCCCAGTAACTCTCTATTTAGCATGAAATCCCCGGGTTGAGAACCGAAGACGAAAATCAATGACTGGTGCATTAGGCGCGGTATCAACAGAATATCGTTTATCCGATAGAGGCGATTTCGTATAGGCCCATTTACAAGACACGATTTTGACCTACGACTTGTAGTATACGACTCAAAAGAGCTCCAAGWCGCGCCGTGTAAATGCCCCTACGACTTGCCTACGACTGACGTGTACGACTCACAACTTGTAGTAGAGTTTTGAGCAAAGCGGCTAGACTATAGAATACCCGTCCACATGAACAGAGTCTTATAATCACTGCTCCCGCAGTCCCGTAGTCACACAGTGCCTGCATTGACATGGTGGGCATATAGACTGTCGAATACGGCAAGAGTCTGAAGTATTTTGTGGTCAGCAGTTTCACATACACAAGTATATTCTACTACGTTATAAATATGGCGTCTTTTACGGTAGAGGAAGTACACGAACAGTTAATGGATGATGATAGTTCAGATTCTGAAGAAACCAAGGCTACAATTAATAAAGATGAAGCAATTGATCGCCCCATGTGAGAGAATCCAGAGAACTAGAGGATTACGGATTCCAAAACATTGGATTCCGGATTCCAAACCTTGGGATTCCGGATTCCAAAAAAAATTTGTTTTGGATTCCAGATAATAAATGGCGTGATTTTCAGTTTTTTTTTCCCTGAAAATTCCATATTCAGCGTGTCAGTAGCCTGCGCAGGCCGCCGGCAACRCAGGCCAGCGCRTCACTAATTTGCACTGTCTCCAATATTTGTCGCACACTGACAAACAAACTACGTGCATGAAGTACATGTACAGCAAAGTGCAGCATATATACATGCTATATGAACAACTGGATGTACGTTTCCATCTCTAGACAGCTAGATTTACACCGATAAAAGCCGAATCTTTCTAAGTATCCATTTCCAATAATTTCTGATTGTGTCTTTAAAGGACTAGCTAATTTTTGTGGTTATGTTTGTTTCGCTCAATATTCCTAGCCAATAAGGACAGCTCTCTCTTTTACAGTTATATCTATAATTAACACTAAATCTTCTTTCCTGTATTTTGTGTGAATATACGACGTTATGGGTGTGGTCACGATCTCAACGCATAAGGCAATGCACCAACTAGTTCTTTTGTTTTGGAGCGGACGTTCTCCTGTTGTGTGCCTCTGCCATATTCTCTTGTAAGCTCTTTCAGTACTTCCTCCTCTCCTCTTTAGTTAGCCTACGGGACGCCTTCGATTCTCTTTTCCTTTCGGAGTTCCAAATTTGGAGGCTCCCTACAAATGACTTTTTCTGGATAATGGGAGTTTGGTCTAGTGAAGTACGAAAAATGCTTTTTTTGAATGCAAGCATTGTCTTCCACGCAATGCATGTCATGATCAGCTCTCATGCCTTTTAAGAAACTTTCCRAAGATAAAGTGGTCATACTCTCAAATGCCACATTATCAAGCAAGAAGKAGCACTTGATTTCTCGAAACAATTTAGGCAAACGCGTAAATGATTCAAGTGCCCTTGGTACAGTTATCGATGCAAAATGAGCATATAATTTGTTTAAACAGTTATTATTCTTAACAAACAGTTTCATACGGTTAAAAAGATTTTGTTAATATTGAGGTCAATAAGTAATGTTTAAAGTCCGATAATGAGGACTGGACGGAATTTCAAGTCCACGCAATTAGTTCCAGTCAGAGGCATTAGCCGAGGACTGGAACTAATTTCCATGGCAAGAAATTCCATACAGTTTGATAGCGAGCATGCGCACTAGACTGGTTAAATGGCCGTTAAAGAACACTGAACAACTTTTTTAAGAAAACGTGAGGGACTTCTGTCATCTTTGTCATTTTTAAGAAAGATCGAGATTCCCTCTGAATTCCCAAATATCTAGATTTTCTCTTTGGTTAAAGAACAAGAAAAATAGATATTCCCGAGCTTTGTTGTGCATCATCTAGGCGGTTCCAACTCTAAACGAAAGTTTTCATCGTTAAGCCAAAGCAAAATAAGGCAGCCATGCGAATATTGCTAAAATTATGAATTAGTGCTGCTGGTTTCGTCAATTTACAACACATTTTGACAGTTCCCAAATATCTGAAACTCGAGTTTGGATCAAAAGGAATGGTTTTATGTACAAAAATATGACTTACAGTTTTACTTTCCCAGTTCCATAACGAKCCAAAAAGGACAATGGATGTCCAATCGAGAGTTTCCTTGAGTATCATTGTTGTTTGTTGAGCGTGGCGCGCGCGTTAAGCATGAAAACAACCAAAATCGGTGAAGTCTTCTTGATTCCCTCCGCCATTTTTTAAACCCCAGTCTTCCAAACAAGGCCTCTAATCCGGGCTATTTTGTCCGGKATATAATAAGAGATTGGTAAAGAATTATTGTATCCATGGTATCGGGGGTACCCACCAAACAAAAGAACAAACAATCGTCCGGCGCTCGCTCAGCATGTCAGACGTACTGACGAAGTACAACAAATTATTATTGAATAAAAACCTAGAAGATGTTGACATTACCGAGTCCGAATTTCACTACGCATATAATAGAAGAAGTCAGGATGCAGTAGTAGGGCTTAGGATTCCTTTCCCGTTGCTGAAGCTGTGGAATAGTTTGGTGAAAGATGAGGAGATTGGGGAGGTGAAGTATGTGGACTTGTTGGAGTGGAGTATACGAGGTAATGCGTTTGTTTTTGTTGACGATCAGGACATTAGAAATGAAATCAACGGACATATAGAAAAGTTATCAGGTATTGTCAACACACAGTACAAATCAACGAAAGGGAGAGCACGGAGACAGCTTGATGAGAGATCAAAAATATTTCATGTAAAGAAAGAATATTTAAAGTCAGTTAGTCAGTGGAGAGAGGAGGTAGAACATTTAGAAAACAAGATAGAAGAATGGAGAAAGAATTACAGTAATCTTGAAAAGTCTATCAGAGATCTGTATAGCTCTTTAGTTCAGGAAATCAGAGCGAAAAATAAAGAAATACAAGATTTGAAAAATGTAAACAAAGAGCTTCAAGACTACAYAACAAAACTTGAAGGTCGAGTATATAAAGGAAAAACATTATCTGAATCTAAAAACAAAAACAGAACTCTTAAGTCTTTTTTAACTAGAGCTCAAGCAGCCCTATGGTTTTCTCGTTGGTTTSGGATAGAAGTAGAGGCAGTGGTGATAAAGGATGGATCTGGGGATGTAAGGAGATTGGACTTGACTGGAGAGAAGGCTGATGCAGATATTGGGGATGAAGATGATGGTGATAAAGGTTTTGAAAGATTGTCTAAAGAAGAAAAGGAAAAGGTCGAGAAGGTGTTGTTTTTGTTAGATAAGTTTTGTGTTGGCGATATGTTTTACCATGAATTTTCTTTTATTTGTGATGGTCTACCAAAGTCCTACCTAATTAAACAATGCAGAGAAAATTTCAACAACATGTGCCATATAACTTCACTTCCTGGTTCCCATAATGGTTGCCAAGTCAACTCTGTTACTGATATTCTTAAAGAAAGTATTGTTGATTTTTTGAAAACTAACCCTTTTTCTACAAGCCAAGATAAATTAAAGATTAAAATAAATGGTGATGGTGCTAGAATGACAAGAAATAGTAACTTCATTATCCTTTCCTTTTCTCTTCTTCAAGCTGGACAAGATGTCATGTCAGCTAAAGGGAACAGAACTATTGCCATTGTTGACTCAGGGGAGGACTATTTTACCTTAAAAGAAGCCTTTGCTGCTGTTTTTGAAGAATTGAACAACCTTATAAGTTCTGGGGTTATTGAAGTAGATGGAAAGAAGTTAAATACTGAGTTTTTTCTGGGTGGGGATTATAAATTTATTTTAATGATGCTTGGCTTGAAAGGAGCAACATCAGAGTATGCCTGTGCTTGGTGCAAAACACCAAAGAATGAGAGATGGGATGTGAGTAAATCTTATAAAACCTTCAATTTGCCTCCAATAAAAAGAACACTTCAAGAAATCAGAAATAAAAGTAAACAGAAACCTACAAAAGTCAATAAGTATAATTACAGTTGTGAACATGAACCTTTGATTAATATTGATCTGGACCACATCATTGTAGATGAACTTCATTTAATGTTACGAATAACCGATAGACTGCTTGCTAATTTAATTAATCATGCTTTGGACTGGGATGTGTCCGAGGAGCTAGACAGGGTGAGAGGACAGGAGAGAGGTGTACATTTGAAGAGAACAGTTGAATTCATAAGATCACTGGGAATTTCATTTAATGTTTGGGAAGTGAAAAATGCAGATGGGACAAGGTCAAGTGGGAGGTATGATTGGACAAGTCTGATGGGGGATGATAAAAAGAAACTTTTATATGGATTCACAGAAAAAGAAGGTGCACTGCAGCTATTTCAGAAGCCWGAGGTAGGAAAAATCTTCTTAAAAATCTGGAAAGAGTTTGCCAATTTATATAGTGTAATAACAACATGGTCACCAGACACCACTCCTCATCAGATCTGGAAAATGGCAGCATCTTGGGTGAAGCTTTTCTTAACTTTAAATGGAAAATTGAAAGGCCATGAAAAGAGCAGAGTAACCCCATACATGCATATCTTGGTTGCACATGTACCACATTTTTTTGAATTATATAAATCTATAAAAGTTTTCACTGGCCAAGGAGTTGAAAAGAATAATGATGTGGCAAGGAGTGTTGTACTAAGAAAATCCAACAAGTGGGATGCAMCAGGGGACATATTAAGAGTGGAGAGTAGGCAGTGGCAGTTACGATCACATGAAAGAAAAAGAAGAAATTATACTAAAAGGCAATCTTCTTACTGGAATGAAGAAATCAAAAACAAAAGGAAGAAAAAATGATTATTAAAAATATATTTGAATATCTATTATTTAATTTCTATTATTCATAAGCAATTTGCATATAATTTGAAACTTAATTTTTTATTATTTTTCATATAATTTAACTTTTTGCCATATCTGGAATGTACACTTTTTGATCCACCAGTTATAAGCAGAGCTAAAAGAAATTTGTTGTGTTTGACTTAATTTATAATTTTAGACAGATGTTTATCAATTGCAAAGTGTTTATGCAGTAATAGAAAAAAGATATATTCTAGCATCCATTATAATTACACAAATGATCTGTAACAAAAAAATATTTTCAATTTTCAAAAAAAAAAATGTTTCATGATTATATATATTATATTAATCAATTTGCCTGCATCTTAAATGTTTTTTTAAAAATGCTTTTATTTAT